TGATGTCCTACCTGCTTGTCAACATATATAAATAAATAATTGTCAGATCAAAAACAGCAATTAAAAGGCACTGTGACCGACACTGACCATAAAATTTAAGTTTTCACGGAACATACAATGACGTCACTAAACAGTGACGGCACAACTATAAGAGCATCATTCACAAGTTTCTGCACAGCCCTAACTACAGCCTAGTGTATTATTCTGTCACGTATGAGACCAAAAATCATTCAGTTGATCAGTGATATTCTATCATGGACAACATCATTGCCTTTTCCTTTACATCGATTTCTGATTCTCACTGATCTAACTCCAGTTGCTCGTGTTTCCTGCTATCCTGATTATTATTAACAGTTCCATCTTCGGGATCTCTTTTGATCAGACACACTTCCAGCTTTACTCGTGGATATGGAAAATGGAAAATGAAAATATGCTAGGCTGTCTTTTTGACATTTTGATGATATGAACTGAGTAATTGATCAGGTATATGCTTCACTCTCTCCAAACTTGATGCTACTCTTCAAATGTTGCACTTTCCTGCGCGCAAAACAATAAGCATTAAGCACCAACCAATGATAGTGATTTTGAACTAAAGAAAGCTGAAAATATATTTGCTGAGGGCCAATAGCAAAACATAACCTCCAAATAGGCTACATTTGCATTAGCCCGAGCTCGCTCTGTCTCTCACGATGCGTGCACCCTGGCGCGAAGTGAGCGTTTTCAGTTAATTGCTAACTCATCTTTACTCTTATGCACGAGAACTGAACTGAAAACGCTCGCTTCACGCCAGTGTGCACGCACCGTCATGTAATGCACTTGTTTATGCCGAATCGTTTAAAAAACAATGCCGGGACGCAAAAATCCAAAATCGGACATTTTCCGGAACAGGATCCGGCTCAAAGTAAGCACTGCTCTGCGCACCCTGCTCACACAGACATCACACGTCATCAGCGTGTTCCTTAAGGCTATGCAGAGTTGTAGACAGACAGTAATCGAGAACCGCAAACAAACAGCAGTTGCCTTTTACAGTTCCTCCTGAACCAAAACAACGAGCTTATGCTGCTTTTACACCATGTCATAACCATAATTAGGAGATGGCTACCCGTGACATTCTACCAGGAGCTGTTCATGTCCTCAAACTCAGATTTATGCATTTCTATGTGAACACTATCAATGCCGAAATGAATCTGCAGCAGTCAGGAGGTACAAGAAAGAGCTGTTTAAGTCATTATTATTATTGTAATGTTTTGTGCTAATTTAATGCCGTCTCTCGTGATGCTTTGCAGGATCTGCTGTGTTGATTGAGGCATGGCTTTGGAGAGAGCCCTCTGAAGGGAGGGTAAGGTCTTATGTTTACAAAGCTAGCTTGCTATTGCTAGCCTCTCCGAAAGTGCCAACCCTACCTTTAACGTTGATGAGTTACAAGATTTTTAAGGGAGAAAGACAAAAGCCAGGGACCGTGCAAAGATGTGCAAACTCTAAAAGCTTTTATGGAAATATTAATTGAGTGCTGATGGAATAGTGGTTTAAGACCCTTTTAGACAAACCACATCATATGTACGGGAAAAGACGATCCATCACCACAAATAAAATATTCAAAATTTGCTTTTAGAGGTCATCAAACAGATAACAATTTTTTTTTTTACACTGACTCATGTCTGCTCATTCTCTAGGAAAGCATAATAACGTTCTACATTAAAGTAAATACCCATCATTCTCTAATCTTTCATTTGAATGACTTTTAATTACTGCTTATTGACTTTGGTCACAGAAGCATTGGAAATGTAATACAGCCACTTAGTCAGCTGCACCACCCTTCCAAACACAGACAGCTCAATCAACAAAAGCTGTAGTTCAAGAGGCTTTATGTTTCATTAACTGCAGATTAAACATCTGTCGTACTAGTGGACTGAGCAGGAAGTTATGGTGAGAAGGTTAAATACAATACAATACTGAGAAGGTGACAATACAGACAATAAGTAGGCTAAATACAAAATAGACGTTCTGAAAATACTCTTTCGAGCTGTGAGAGTTGGGTTCAATACCTGCACAGAAAATCTATTAGAGTGATGCTCATGGACCATTTGAAGTCATCCCCATTTGGGAAACCTGTTTCCACGTAAGAGTTAAAAAAGGTAACTGGGACCTTATCTCACAAATGTGACTTTATATGTCACTTGCAAGTTGCAACATTACTCTTACTGTAAATGAGATTTTATCTCACAATTGTGACTATTTCTTGTAATTGTGACTTTATTTCTCGTAAATGTCACTTTATAGCTATCTCAATTGCGACTTAATGTCTCATAATTGCAATTTTAACTTGCAATAATTTTTTTATTTCTCATAATTGCAATTTGAACTTTGTCACAATTTCAACTATTTCTCGTAATTGCAACTTTATTTTATAAGAGTTTGACTTCATATCTTAATGCAATGTGACGTTCATATTGCGAGTGCAGTTTTTAAAAAAAATATTAACTAAGAGAACTAAAAAGAAGTGCTCTTTGAACACAACCTACCCAGTAATGAACGCCTGCTCTTTGTTCAGATTGAATGTGAGATATTTAACCATATAAGATGTGGGTTTCTTGATCTGAGGTAGTGATTGGTGATCACTAATTTATTGGGCATTCACCTAATGGCTGCACACTTCCTTTGTACAGTTCAACTAGCAATGACACCAAAAAGCGAAAAGACACCAAGTGCAAACCTCACAGAAAACCACAATGTTCTCTGTTCTCATACATACTTTGATGTTGTTGCTGGTGCATGCATGGCTTTCAATAACATTGCGTCTGTTGTAGCTTAAGCAGACATCAGACGTCAATAAGCACAAGGCATACCACAAGATGATGGAAACAAATCCAGAAATATCTGGTTGAATGACATTTCAAAAGCTGTGCATTCTGTGAGTCATTGTCAGAAAACCTTGCAGAACTGCCCAGGTCATATGCAATAATAATAAAAAGTGAATAGAAAGTGCAATGGCAACAAAAAAAACAACAAAAAAAAAAACAATGAAAAAGAGATCTGAATGTAAAAAAAAACCTTCTGATCACACTTGATTTGTTAATTTGACTTTTTTGCACAACAAGTGTTGTGAAGTTTTAGTAAAGTAACATAAAATAGATAGCATACCTGTATATTTTGTCAACTCCCACCTTTTATGTAGGCCTATGTTATGCATAAACTATACAGTACTTATACTCAGGGCCAGAACTCAACATTGAAGGCAGCATGTAAATCTTGAAAATTTAAAGAAATTTTGTGCACTTTCCATGTGCTGTTTTATTTCTTCCTCAAGGATGGATTACAATCATGGAAGGTGGATGATGAACTTGGGCTTTGGAGCGGCTGTCATCACAACACTGTCATAAGTGGCTGTATTACATTTTCAGTGCTTCTGTGACCAATGTCAAAAGCAGTAAATATGAATATACTTATATGATCATTAGATTTTTTTTGGAGGACAAAACTGGTCCTTTTAGAGACTGGGTTTTGAAGTGAGTTATACACTCACCTAAAGGATTATTAGGAACACCTGTTCAATTTCTCATTAATGCAATTATCTAATCAACCAATCACATGGCAGTTGCTTCAATGCATTTAGGGGTGTGGTCCTGGTCAAGACAATCTCCTGAACACCAAACTGAATGTCAGAATGGAAAAGAAAGGTGATTTAAGCAATTTTGAGCGTGGCATGGTAGTTGGTGCCAGACGGGCCGGTCTGAGTATTTCACAATCTGCTCAGTTACTGGGATTTTCACGCACAACCATTTCTAGGGTTTACAAAGAATGGTGTGAAAAGGGAAAAACATCCAGTATGCGGCAGTCCTGTGGGCGAAAATGCCTTGTTGATGCTAGAGGTCAGAGGAGAATGGGCCGACTGATTCAAGCTGATAGAAGAGCAACTTTTACTGAAATAACCACTCGTTACAACCGAGGTATGCAGCAAAGCATTTGTGAAGCCACAACACGCACAACCTTGAGGCGGATGGGCTACAACAGCAGAAGACCCCACCGGGTACCACTCATCTCCACTACAAATAGGAAAAAGAGGCTACAATTTGCAAGAGCTCACCAAAATTGGACAGTGGAAGACTGGAAAAATGTTGCCTGGTCTGATGAGTTGTCTATTTCTGTTGAGACATTCAGATGGTAGAGTCAGAATTTGGTGTAAACAGAATGAGAACATGGACCATCATGCCTTGTTACCACTGTGCAGGCTGGTGGTGGTGGTGTAATGGTGTGGGGGATGTTTTCTTGGCACACTTTAGGCCCCTTAGTGCCAATTGGGCATCGTTTAAATGCCACGGCCTACCTGAGCATTGTTTCTGACCATGTCCATCCCTTTATGGCCACCATGTACCCATCCTCTGATGGCTACTTCCAGCAGGATAATGCACCATGTCACAAAGCTCGAATCATTTCAAATTGGTTTCTTGAACATGACAATGAGTTCACTGTACTAAAATGGCCCCTACAGTCACCAGATCTCAACCCAATAGAGCATCTTTGGGATGTGGTGGAGCGGGAGCTTCGTGCCATGGATGTGCATCCCACAAATCTCCATCAACTGCAAGATGCTATCCCTATCAATATGGGCCAACATTTCTAAAGAATGCTTTCAGCACCTTGTTGAATCAATGCCACGTAGAATTAAGGCAGTTCTGAAGGCGAAAGGGGGTCAAACACAGTATTAGTATGGTGTTCCTAATAATCCTTTAGGTGAGTGTAATGTGTCTTAACAAAATGTGCTATCCATTTTAACACATGTATTACAATGTCACATGTCATAATAGATATTTTTTGCTGTCAGGATGTGCTGCCTTTGTAATTCTCTTAAAGGCAGCTTAAGGAGCAAACACATCCTTTTTCAGAAAAAACAGAACAGCTTACATGTAGATTTGCATGTCTGATTTTCAGAAGAAAGAAACAAAGAAACGAAGAAAGGGCAATGAGTGTAAATTGTGTAGATAAATATTAGCCCAGTAGGTATTTTATGGGGAGACATATATGTGTCAACTTGCAGTGACAGGAGGGTGCAAGACTGAGCTCTAAGCTCGGGGGCGGAGTTGGCAGAAAGCTCTCGGGGAAGAACTTGTGAGTCAGTTTAGTTGAGAGTCAAGGCAACTGTGGACTAACGTTACACACCTCTCACGAGCAAAAACACAGGACTGAATTTGTGGAAGATCGCATGTGTACCGGACTCAGGCGAGTCAAAATGTATCCTAATCCGAGACGCGCTTTGGATGTTTTGGAGACGCGTAACAGCGCATGAAACATACATGTGGAAAGTATGATCGTGGGATCTTTGACATAGATTGGGGAAGTCAGCATTTGACGCCATGCGTCTTGAGCGCGTGTAAAGTGACCGATCTGATTTGAACATCGACCTGGCTGCATGTGAGAAACAACTCGGTGAAGATGAACATGGACCCTACCATCCCGGTCATTATGTTTATATTTGGCGTGGTCGGGAACATTATTGCTATCGTAGTGCTTCAAAAGTCACGGAAAGAGCAAAAGGAGACCACTTTTTACACCTTGGTGTGTGGACTTGCCGTAACTGACCTCTTGGGCACGCTGCTCGCGAGCCCAGTCACCATTGCCACCTATGTGAAGGGCGCGTGGCCCGGTGGGTATCCGCTGTGTCAGTATTCCGGGTTCATTTTACTCTTCTTCTCTTTGGCAGGTCTCAGTATTATCTGTGCCATGTCCGTCGAGAGGTACCTCGCCATCAATCATGCCTATTTCTATAACCACTACGTGGACCAGCGGGTGGCAGGTTTGACGCTCGCGGGAATCTATGTGTCCGATGCACTCTTCTGCGCTCTTCCCAGCATGGGACTGGGATCCGTGGCACTCCAGAAGCCAGGAACCTGGTGCTTCATCGACTGGCATAAAAACGACAGCTCGAACGCCACTTTCTCCTACATGTACGCCGGCTTCAGCTCCGTCCTCATCCTCGCCACCGTCATTTGTAACGTGTTGGTGTGCGCGGCTCTCATCATGATGCACAAGCGCTTCGTGCGCAGGACCTCGCTGGGGACAGACCAGGCGCGCGTCGCGGAGATGAGGCGCAGGCGGAGTTTCGCGCGTCTGGCTGGTGCTGAGATCCAGATGGTCATTGTTCTCATAGCCACGTCCGTTGTCGTGCTCATCTGCTCCATTCCTTTAGTGGTAAGTGGGATTTGATGGCTTTTGGGAAATGACAACGCACTTTGATTAAGAGCGTGTTGCAAAATATGTGTTAACGACGTGGGATACCCGGCTAAAAAACAACAACAAAAACTTAGCTAAGATGGATTGCTGGTCTTAGCTAAATTTAATAGTTTGGTTTCAGTTAAAAGTCCATGAATTCACAAAATTGTGTAAAATCGTATCATACCTATTTTATAATACTAGCCTATACATTAAAATTGTAGTGTAAAATTACAAGCGAAAAGTATGAATTACATTATAATCTACTGAAAAATGTATATTAGATTTAGCAAGGCACTATATAGACTATATATAATACATATATAGATGTTTTTTTAATAAATTAAAAATATGGAAAGAATAATATGAATATGAATCTTATCCCGCCTTATAAATGGGATACTCATTTCCTGTGTAAACCAACCATCATTTCTTAAGCTTAAAAGCTTTTTTGATTTTGTGAATTTTTCTTATTATTGGCCTTGCATTGTACCACCTGCGTCAGTGCATTGTACAGAAACAGACACGTCTTAACAAGGCTGGTATATTAACATTAAATAAATTAATGACATATACAGTTAAGATCTATAAAATATACAGTCAGACAAATGCTATCCCATGATGCATGTTTTTTTAATGTTCATATCCTTTTAGTGTGTTTCACTCTACAAATGCCGGGTTGTTTCAACCTACGTTTGGGTCAAATTTGGACAAACCCAACCGTTGGGTTTAAAATTTGAAACCAATTGAAAAGCCCTTAAAGGTTGTCACACACACTCTAAACAACTTAGTGCTCAAGCCATCTATCGGTTGTTATCTATTGACGTTCACTGCATAGGATTTGTATGTCTATGATCTGTACTCATGACTTTATTATGTGTTGACTCATAGTGGAAAGACACAACCAGTATCTGATAATCAGTGGTCATATCATGATTGTGTTTGGTGTCGGAAATCAATGTAGGGTGACTATAGATAAAGAAGTAAAAAGATAATGTCTCGTTTCCTGTCTAGGTGCAGGTGTTTGTGAACCAGATGCCCACCCCAGGAGAGACAGCAGAAATGCTGAACTCGGACCTTAAGGCCATCCGAATTGCCTCTGTCAACCCCATTCTAGACCCCTGGATCTACATCCTGCTGAGAAAGACGGTTGTGCAGAAGATTATAGAAAAGGTCAAGTGTCTCTTTTGCCGTATCGGTGGACGGAGTCACGGGAGGAGCCCTACGGAGTTCCACTGCAGTAATGGTGTCCACAGCTCATCGTTTGTCTCTCGTGATTTGCCGTCGCTGGTTCTGCCCGAGCAGCCGGAGATGATCAGCACGTCACAGACATATTTGTATCCCCTGGACGCGGGACAGGGGATGGGCTGCTGTGGTGACTCTGTGCAGAGCAGGACGTGTTCAACTTCAACCGAGCAAACCCTTCTCTCAGGTGACTCTCAGGTGGTAGACCTCAGCAGCGGAGAAAACAGAACAAAAACGAGCACAGACTTTGTGAAAACACATTCGTGCACGCACTCCACCCCAAATGAAGCGCAGTGTTCCAAGCACCAGCCGCTGCAAGTCACATTCACAGACGAGACTTTGAGCTTAGAAGAGAGAAGCATATGAAACATGCCTCAGACCGAATCGAAAGAAAAAAAAAACTCATGAGAGTAAACAGAGAGAACAACTCCAATCAGAGTACTAAACAAAAAAGTGAAAAGAGAAATGGTTACTGAAGTAGGAAATAGATTGTTGCTACATGATGGGTTTCTGGAAAGGGTGAAAGAGGAGGATGGAGAGGCAAACTGGCTTCGTTTTCTGGTAACTGTTTTGTTGAGCAACAGGTTATCCTGCATAATCTAGACAACGAGGCGAATGACAGAGCTCGTATAAATGTGTCTATATTGTAAGTTCTTAATAAGTCTATTCGTTTTTGACTATAGATAAAATTGCATTTGGCCCCGATTGACTGATTTGACCCAGGGAGAGGGGATTTTTTTCCGACTCTTGATTAGATCGGACGGATGACCTTGTGGGTTGCACAAGCGATCAAATATCTGCTGCCCTGCTTCGAGTCCTCTTTTTCAGACATTCTTCATTAGGTCACAAGTTCAAGTAACCAGAGTGCCTTGTAAGCTTTTCTCATGCTGGAACTCGTGGTTTAAAATGTCCTTTTTCTTATGTTAAGGTGACCAGAACACTTTATTTCCAGTGACTGATGCATAAAACAAACTGTTTACTATTTCAAAACTTATATAAGATGTAGCTGGGCATAACTGTGCGTTTTTTTGGAATTTCCATAATATGTACAATATTCTGTGAATTAACCAAGCAATGTCATATGTTTAATGACAGTAATACCGACACAATATATAACGGTACCGAAAACACATCATACAATGTAAGAGCACATGATACACAGCATATCATTGTCAAGAACGTTTAGGAGGTGAAATTGTAAAAGCTATTAAGATGTTGAATGTCTTTTGAGGTCATACGTTTTGCACTTTTAAATCCTTGTAACCACTGAAAAAATTCAAACTGTCAAAATCAATCACTAAGGTCTTGATCAGTCAGTGGCCGTCAAGGAGGAACTGTTGAGTTCATCTGTACATATTTGTGATGTTAAAATGTGAGCAGCGTCTTATTGTCATGCTCTTATTTATTTTAGTTGTGTTGGACAATCTGTGGACTGTAGTTATTTCTTCTCTGTGAGAAGGTCAGGTTTGACATAGTTCTACCCATGTTGAAGCAGTTATATGGTTTTTGTTTCATTTCACATTTCGTGTATCAAAACAGTATGATACATGATTTAAACTACGTAAGCACCATCCTCTGCTGCATGTATATAAATGGTTCAACATTACTCTGTATGTTTTCACCATTTCATTTTCACATTTTCAAACACATGAATTTCAAACCTTGTCTTGCTTATTACCCTTAATGTGACCCTTCAGAATGTGCAATTGCCAGCTATATTTTATGCTAAAATAAACTGACAAATAGAAAATTGAAAACAAAAACAAGATTTGTTGTTGCACTCTTCAATATTAATATAAGCATAGCAGCATTAACATAATTGAACGATCCCAGTCCTTCAAGTATTACAAATGAATGTGTATATATATCAGACTATCACAAGGGGGATGATTATCAGAAACATTTTTAGAACTTTTTGAAACCTTGATTTAAAAAAAGAAGCATTTTTAAAATCTTGCACTCAAACAAAAAATAGCATTTTAAGGATGAACAATGTATTATGTCCAGAGAAAATCAATTAACAATGGATATGTTTGCAGATTGTAAATAATTACTAATGAGACTAGACTAGACTTTAGTCCAGACTAAAAAACATGATCAGTATTCATCAGAGATGTGCACACTCATCCTATTCACAGTGCACTGCAGGTCACTGGATCTGTATGTGGAAAAATACAGATGACCCAAAATATATTTTCAAATGTAATGTTTCCAGTGTGTCAGCAATCCTTGTGTCTGCTTTGTTAAAAAGGGCCAGAGCTCATTATCTTTAAAAAACCATTTTAATAAATGACTGGTCAGGGTAAGTCATGTTATACCTCTTAAATTGTATGCATTTATTCTTGCATTTACATCCTTAAATATATAAACTCTGGCATTCCTTTTGATTTGTGGGTCAAACAAAATCAATCCCGTGAATCACTAGGGTATCATCATGATCCTTACACAATGATCAATGTGGAGGGACAGATCTGGAGACCTTCGCCGACTGTAGACATCCCATAATTCCATTAGATCATGAAGGGAAATCAGTTCAACTCTCCAATGCAAGTACTCTCAGCATGAATCACGCATCTGTGCACTTGCTATGACGTACAAACTGCCACCTGTCCTGGGACCTATACGTATAGGTAAATAAGAACTGACAAAAGCAATCTTTCACTGCAGTCCTACCGCAGCACAGCCCATAGGATTCATCAGTTCCAGGCACCTCCTCAAACCATCATTAGCGAATACGTTAGTGTCCTCATTTATTTGAATGAAGCATCAATTAGCAGAGGATTAGCGGGAGGCAGAAGGATGCTGGAAGCTTCCGCCAGGTCCCACAGGTGCCGAATAAAAAGCATTAGAGACGTAAATCCCTCGGTTTGCAGCCCACGCACACAGCTGGACAGTATCAATGCAGATATGAATGCCTATGAATGATGGGGTTAGTGCCAGTAACAGACAATCATCAACATAAAAATGAAAGGCTGTGCGAGTTTGACCATTGCACATGTCTTTTGCAGCATCTCGTGAATGACACAGCGTTTTAAACATGCAATATTCACGTTAAAAGCTGTTCAACTTTAAAAAAAAGTGTTTTACTTTGTTTCACTGACCTGCGCTTTGTGTTTAACCGCAAAAAAAAGAAAGAAGCACTTTTACATTCCACTGCGCTGCTTTTCCATTGTCTCTTGGACCAGTGCTTATCCAACCTGTCCTGGGGATGCCCCACCACTGCACATTTTGTATGTCTCCCTCATCTAACACACCTAATTCAACTCATCAGCTCATTCGTAGAGGCCGCAACTTATTGCCTGCTACAGACGATTTCGGCAATCCTATAAGATCATTACAAATCACACTGTACAACATGGATGGACCTAATAAACTGGGTTACGACATGTGTAGACTGTACAATGATGACACGTATTAAATCGTGGGCTTACGACGCAAGGTGGTATAAAATAATAAAACGTCATCAGCATGTGCTAGTGGTAAACAAATAGAGCAAGATGAATCGCACTTTGGCAATTGTGGTTTTTATGTGCACTGAAAAAAAGTGGAGGAAGCGAAAGAGAATATGGACGCAGTCATGGCTAGTTTTGGGGGTAACTCATTGCAAGTAACTTGAGTTACATAATCAATTACTTTTATCAAGTAACTAGTAAAGTAACGCATTACTTTTAAATTTACAACAAAATATCTGTTCATTTATGAAATAGCAGCACAGCGGAAAGGCTTGTTTGTTTGAACAACACCCTCCACTGTACAGGCGTGAATTTGCATTTCCTTCAGCCTGAGGCTTATCACTTTTGGTGTGAAAGGGCCTTTAAATATGCCAGAAATATAACTTTTTTGTTGTTATAAAAGCAGACAGACAAACAAACAAACAGCCCAGCCCAGATGAGAAAAAGTAACACAAAAGTAACTTAATGCATTACTTTCCATAAAAAGTAACTAAATAACACAGTTACTTTTGGAGTAACGTAATATTGTAATGCATTACTTTTAAAAGTAACTTTTCCCAACACTAGTCATGGCTAAGGAAAAGAAGCTAATTTGGCATGACACACTTTCAAATGTCGCGTTGATAAATATGCCATTTCATGTTGCATTTTTATTAGCTAGTCAGTAGACGTAGGTCGTAGCAGCAAACACACTGTGAGATGATCATGCTAAATTTCTGACACTGTCTGAACATTAATCGCAGACTATCTTTGGTCGCAAGACTGTGACAACGGCCATCTTTGAACCTCTCTCACTGTACGATTTAAGGAGCCACGACCATAGAAATCAGCACGATTGGTCATCTTTCATCTGGGACAGCCTGAAATCGTACAATGTGTACCAGGCATAAAATAGATGTGTCTGAGAGACATTCAAAATGTGGAGGTGGTGGGGCTTTCCGTGTGAATGACCCCTTCTGGATCAAAACCTGTTGCACATTATTTTACCAAAAAATGACCTGAGGCCATTTACAGAACACATTTTTTGGGATTTAAAAACGTGAGACGGAGGGCAGTCAATGAAAATAAATAAATATTTTAAACAACTTCAGAACGTGCAAGATGCTGGCGGAATGGCTAAACATGTCCATGGCATGTTTACACGGAAAACCAATGGAAAAGTTTAATGCAAAAATGCGTTCTGTGTAAATGGACTTTATTTGGAGTTTAAAAACGAGTGGTTTAGAGGTGCATTTTTAAAAGCTGAACCTCATTTAACTTGAGTGCTGCATTTTTAGAATGCCATGTCATGTGGAAGTCGAAGCAGAACAGTCAAACATTTCTGTCTAGCATGTTTACATGACAAGAACAGTGGAAATGCAGCGCATTGGAATGCAAAACGCACTCTGATCTGTGTGAATAACCCAGGCCTTAGACAGGAATGGGTTACGTAAAGAGAGTAATTTCACCACCAAAAATAATAATAATAATAATAATTCATTATTATAATAAAGCACATTAACTAATGGGCTGTTTTCTTCTATCTCTCTAGTATGACAAACAGACAATAAATCATATCACTCCCTGCATGACTCCTCTCTTCTGCATGACCTTTAGCTCCGAGTTTAACCAATGACTATAACACTGCAACTTCATTTCTAAGTAGCACTAACTAAACACCAATAGTCTGTAAATAGGTAATGGAGCAAGTGTGTGTGTGTGTGTGTGTGTATATCATGCTCTTCCCACTCAGTCCAGGCACATCAGAGTTTCACGCTGCTATAACAGCACTCTTGTCCCAGCGAGGGCTCACATCTCACAAAAAACGAGACAAACAAAGGCGACTGCATGGGAATGACATTCCTAATCAAGTGTGTACATTAAAAAGGGATTTCTCTGCTATTTTGAGAACTTAAAAGCAATGAAATAACAACAGAATGCTTCAG